TCTTTTAATCTGAAAATGCATGGGAATTTCGTGCGCCTTAGTGAGCGCGCTCGGAATTTGGCTCGACAGTTAGGAATTCCGGAATCAACGGAACGCAGCGCGACCTTTCGCGCGCAAATGTTCTCGGCCTCGACATGGAAGACTCTGGGAATCTTGTAGGAATATGGATAAGAGTAGGACTTTCTTTCTTTTCCCATGTCTACTTTTCGCGCGGATATGGTGATTTGAATTTTTGAATTAGCGTAGGATTTGGAAAAACTGCAACTGTTTCGGTGCCCATTCTTCTTTTGCTGTTCAGCGCCATGCAAACAAGTTCCCTTCTCCTTCCTTCTTGCGCCCCTCTCAGCGCCTTACCTCACGCGCACATGCTTTCTCGCTCCCTCCCCCTGTAACTGTTTTTCTCTCTCCTTCCCCGCGCGCGCCCTTTTTCTCTTTCTTGATCATCTGAATCTTGGACCCATTTTGCGCTATCCTTCGCACTCCTCTTCTTCCCGCTCTAAGACCCGCGCTCGAAAAACCCTGTCGATCCTCTCTTCCCATCTAGCCAAGGAAAAGCGTCGTGTAAGAGGAGATTCCTACTGCACGATGATTCTGATTGACTGTGTGAGGATCAACATGGCTTTCAACGAGCAATTACTCTCAAGCCCTCCCTTACCCTCCTATGCCCTACTCTTCATCTTTCCCCGCATCTCTCTTCCTTCTCGCAACTAAAAATTCCGCCGGCGCATCCGCAAATCCCTCTCTCAACTCGTCAGCCAGCTTCCGGGAAGAAGTGGCTAGATGATGTGTGTATAGTGCGAGTCGGAAAGTCCTGACGGGCTGACTGTAGACTGGCTGGCTGTGAGCTAGATCGCCACGACGGATTGTGGGATCCGGGCAAGCCACGTCAAGGCTCAGTTGGCGGGGTGACGATCACTGTGGTGGAAGGTGACACTCGACGACCGGGATCGTCGGTGCATGAATGAGGATGAGTGATCCGAGTTGAGTGGATGAATGGCCCGGGGCCATGTTGGAATTTGGTGGCGAGTACGCCCCCATTGTTGTGAATCCATTCTTTGGTGTGAGCTCACGGCTGTAAAGTCGGACCTTCTTTGCATTTCCCGATCTCATTGTAACTCTTCCCTCCTGGCTTGATATTCTCGCCTGTCTCTTCCTCCCTTCTTCTCTTCTCTCGCTGATATGAATAACTATGCATGATGAGTCAATCTTTTGGTTGTGATGGAATGAGCATTTGTGAACGTGTGCTCGGAAGAACTTTTCCATTAGTTTCCTGGGTAATCCCCGGACCTACTAAGAATTGATTGTCTTGTCTTGTGAACGATGGATGCGCGTGGTTCAACCATCAGCGATCTAAAGGGATTGTGATTACTTGCCTTTGACACAACAGGGCAGGGTATTGCATGTCTGCCGTTTTCGCACCTTCCACCGTGAATGTATGTATGGGATGGAAATGATCGAGCACGAAACTCGTCTTGATTAAGATACTGTCCGGATGGATCTATGATATGGGCAATGTTGTTGGGATTTTGTTCGAGAATGCAATAGCATTTAGATCTGTTGATGTTGTGATTACGTAAGAGAACCCCGGGAGCTGCCGTTTAGGACACACTGCCCTTGCCATCTGCCTTATGCTGTACAACATATACAGCATACCCTCGTAGAATAATGAGGGACTCCAAAGCCACGTGCGATCGGTACACGTGAACAGTGGCCGCGTCTCACCACGCATGAGTTTTTGTCTCTATCTATCCTTCTTCGCCTTCAGGAATTTTTTATTCTTCCTTTCTGATTGGATCGATAGGTTGTGTGTTTTTCGACTAGCATCGATTCTGGGCCTACGATGAATGATTGTGGATATCTTTGGCGCCTGATTGATTGCCATGTGGACTGACGGGCTCAACCCGAGTAGGCATCAGCCTCCCGTATCCCCACCTCGCCCCTTCCCGTATAACGAGGAAAGGACGCGTGTGTGTGAGTAAGACGTACGAGAAGCCGTCGCAAAGATCAGTGGGCGATATTACTTCCCTCCTGAAAATCGGTGTTCCTGGTTTGTCATTATCGATACGCACTTTCCGCCATATTCGTTGCTATTACCGTTTAAGGAGTTGATCGTCATCCCGTGGTCAGCAGTGGCGCCCCATTGGCCTAAAACTCTGTGCAGTGATTGCCAACGCTTCGATCACTACCAATCAAAGGGCTTCCACTACCGAGTATGGAATGAGGACGAACATAAGGAAATGGCCACTCGATTAAGGCCGTCTACGTCAGATTCGGAATTGTGCAACGTGCGGCGTCGGGAGTTAGTCCGAAAAAAGGATACTAAGTACATGCCCGCTCCCTTTTACTCCAAACGAAGAGCCATGGCTCGGTGGGAGGTTCGACAGTGTTTTCTGGATTGAATTCGAACTTCCCCGTGTCGCGAATCCCTCGCGCGCTTCTTTGTAACCCGCGTTACAACCGACCGGTTCTCTTACTTCATCAGACCAACATGGGGGATTTCAGTTATGTCTGTGTCCCCACACTCAATTTCCCAAAAATCCTTGGCATACCCCATCTTGTTGTTTTTCAGGGCCTTTTTCCGCACCCTTAATACTCCGAACGGAAGACAGCGCAGGGCGTGAGGTTGCGCGTTCGGAGGGTCCTGTTGGAGCCCAATTTTGAAAAATTCGAAAACCAAATTTGGGGTTCCCATGCCATTTACCTGGGTCTGGGGTACCCCAAAAAATAATGCTGATGTTTTTCGAGAACCAGTACCCCAACCGGACAGGCCCTGAAAGGGCCGTCTCAGCCGTCCGTGTGATGACATTGGCACGCCAGTTCACTGCTTTGCTTTTATTTGGATGAAATCTTTTTTTTTTTTTTTTGGAAAACAAGTTCTCAAGTCTATTTGTGGGGAGCAGCACGTGCTGGGAACCGGGCCCAGCGTCGCATATTGAATTGTACAGATATCGGGGCCATTACCCGGTTTTGGTTGAGAACAGTCTGTGAACACGATGTGATTCAGAAAGCATGGGGAGGATCATGCATATCTAATGACCTATTAATAAACTACTCATGCAATAGGCTGCCACAGAGGTCCTACGAATGCTCATGACCCTCTGGATCCCTAACAAACCCTTCTAAGACTTTCCAACACAGTCTTTCTCCCTTCTTAGCTCTTTCGGGCCTCACGCCCCTACCTTTCTGGGTGACAGGGCAACACAACTCGCCCCAGCTCTGACCAGTGTCGTCCCAACAGCAACCATTGGTTGTCCCTTGGGATGCCCACCCCAAAGCATCCCCAGATCTCTCTACCAGGCCTCACGCTCCTGCAACAGCAGGTTACAGGGCAACACCCCAGCACCTGCCAGCGTCGTTCTAGCATCGAACAGCCGCAGATCACTGAGTATAACAGCATCGAAACCGCCTAAGATGGGTTGCTAAGAGTCCCTAAAGTCCTAAGACATTCATAAGAACAGCCGACGTTTTTCCACTATTCAGACTATACCAAGTCACTAGAATATGTGTGTCAAAAAGCCTCCCAACCACGAATCAGATAGGTGAAACCTATTTAATCCACCTATGACCACCACCAGCACGGTTGTTTTCAGCACGAACCGAAGCTCTTCCAGGCCTCGTGCTCCCATCAGGTTAGGTTACAGAGTTGCACCACCTTGCTCCCGCACCGGCCAGCATTGCTCCAGTTACGCCCCCCGATATCCACAGCCCCCCAGAGCTCTCTACCAGGCCTCACGCCCCCACTAAGCTAGGTCACAGAGTTCCGCCACCTGGCTCCGGCTCCGGCCAGCGTTGCACCAGCATCGGTCTTCGAGGGCCACCGAGTTTTCGACCACCCTTCGCAGTATCACAGATGACTTGGCAGATAGCACCTATTCCTACAACCTCCTCGAGAGGCAAACCAAATGGAAAGAAATAGTAAGCTGGATGATAGACTTCTT